GCTCCCCAGCAACTATAAGCTGGTGTCATTTCTGGGTGAGGGAGGCTTTGGAGATGCAATCAAATGTGTCAAAAAGGACACCAATGAGACTGTTGCTGTAAAGGTCCCTCACTACGGCTGCAGCTTCAAAGCTGAAGTAAGTCCCTTTAGTCATCAGAATGTTCATATTACTTTTATCTATCTCTATCCTCTATAACCACCCGCACCCCACCCCACCCCATCCCCCGCAGTACACCTCACCGCCCACGCGCCACCCACCTACGCCGCCCCAGCTACAGCCCACCCAACCGAAAAAGAGACCGCCCCACCTACGACTATCCGACCACGAGCCGCGCTACTATTTATCTATCTCTCTCTCTATATATATATATATATATATATATATATATAAATATAATAAAGTTGTGAACGTGTCAACAAGTAAGCATTAAACTTATACTGTGTTATCTCTAGTTGACTCTACTGAACTTCCTCATGGAGAAGAACCTGGACAAGTGCAACATTGTCAGGTTCATTGATTTGCTCAAGCTGGAGGACGAGAGAACCGGTCTGGCCTTCGAATTGCTGGATGAGAATCTAAGCAACCTTTTCTTTCAGAGGAACTTTACCCCTCTGTATTTACATGAAGTCAGGAGTGTAGTCCAACAGGTATGGATACAGTTGGCATTAGACGCAACACTAAAGTCAAAGAGTTATATCAGCATTGCTCCATTTTCTGAATTTCACTGATGACTGATCTCTGTACTTGCAGATGGCCACGGCATTAAATGCCCTGAAGATGGCTAGAGTGATCCATTCAGATATAAAGTTAGACAACATCATGCTAGTGGATCGCAACGTGCAGCCCCTCACAGCAAAGCTCATTGACTTTGGATTGGCTTTTCCAGCGTCTTTAGTGAAGCAGGGTGCCATTCACCAAACGATGCCCTACAGGTGAGCTACACAGAAACATAAATCATTTATAGTTTGTAGGATATTTCTGCCATCAGCTTAAACATGACAGTCTTCCTCATCCTGTGTTCTACCTTTGTTTCATCTTCAGAGCTCCAGAAATTATTTTGGGACTTCCAATTTCAGAGGCCATCGACATGTGGTCTCTGGGTGTTGTGATGGCGTTCTTGGTGCTTGGCGACGCTCTCTTCCCTGGGGAAACTGAGTATGATACAGTAAGTCATTTACTGCCCCCTTTTTCCTTTCTTCATATAAGATCTAGCACTGCTGGGGGACTGGCCTCAAATTGTAGTAACGGGTATTGCTGTATACACGTTTCTGTGCACCGATCCGGTGCCACATAATATATTAGCCTTGAAATGGGAACCTGCTGCTTCATAACAGTGTCTTGTAACCTTTTTCAATAGCATGACAAACTAACTGGGGAAACAATGCTCTATTGTTGATATTGTCTGAAAGTTTTGGTGCAGTTACACTACCTCAGATATGGTACCCTACTTTAGGAAATATAAACTGCAACTTTTCCTAAATATAATGCAAAACTGGTCAAATTAACAAGAAATTAACATAACTTTAGGTTTGTGATATTCGGTACTATGAACACATTCTGGTTGATACCAAAAGTATTGAGGTTTGATACCCAGCCTCTATGGGGTACCTTTGAAATTGACACTTTGAATTCCCCCTCTGCACTTCCTTCCTGAAAAACAGTTCATCTTTAATGGTCACCTCACCTTTGACTAGTGTGGACATAACCAGTCACAGACTGTTACATAATCCTATGTTACATGAAGTAACATATTTGGTGTGCTGTCTGTATTTATATTTTGGAAGCATTTCTGGCAGATGTAAAGAAATTTGTACTTTGAAAGATGCTATAAATTTGTGTTCTGTCTTCAGATACTATACATAGTGGATCTCCTGGGTATACCTCCAGAACATCTTCTGAGTGCTGGGATATACTCAGACAAATATTTCATAAAAACATTTTCTGGTCGCTGGAGACTAAAGGTAAACAAGGTCCTCCTTCACATTCTCTATAGTTTTCTACTAGTTAATCAGTTAAAGTGATGAAAAGCTGTCTGAAATTGACCTTCTTTTAGACACGCAAGGAGTACTGGAGAAGAGGCACACCTCGCACCAACTACAGGGCCTACCAGTTCCACAAACTGGACGAAGTGGAGATGGTAGGTGTTTAAGTAGATTGTGCAGTAGCTGCTGAAGACCTTCCTCTTTCTCTGATTCTCTTTATATGCATCTTTACTTACTCCTGTTCTAATTGTCCTTTGTTTCCCACATTAGTTGCCCCTGGAGAACCTCAATAAGGTGGAGCCCGATGAAAGGAAGGAGTGTATTGACCTGCTGAAGGCAATGCTTTTGATGAATCCCAGTGAGAGGATTACACCCGGTGAAATCCTCGCTCATCCGTTCATCACAAGGGGCACCATCCATCATAGCTCTGAGTAAGTGTCAGGAGTCTTATTGAGAATTCTTTATTTTATTGCTAGGTTTCGACTACTCAATTTCTTTCTACAACAGTTCCATTGTTTTCTTTGTGCTAAGAATACGATGACCAGACCTCCTGGCTATTCCGGTATGTCCCAGTCTCCCAAGTTCCAACAAACACACTAAATAGTCCCAGTTTTCACCACAATTAAAAGAATAATTGTAATATTATACTTGTTTCAGCACTTTCATGATCTGTCCCACTCATTATTACCAAACCCCGTATTCCAAACTGTTACTCTCTGTAAGTGTCAATCAATCAGTGTGTCATTGTCAAGGCTGTACCCTATGAGTCATAGGTAAGCATCATCTTTCTGACAGTATGCTAACAGTTAGCTGTCTAAACTAAACTAAGGAAAGAGAAACATAACAAGCTTAGAGTTGTATATGTGGGTGTAAAGTATCTAAAAAACCCTAACCCTAACCTGTTGAAACCAAATTTCAGGCAAGTGTAAACCTATTGAGATGTCACTCATTGGTTTGTGGAGTACTGTTTTGAAGTCTCACAGTCGGCAGTTGTTTTTTTGCAGCCAGCAGTGGTGACGTACTGAGTTGAGTTACTCTCATTGGCTGTGCTTAGTCTCAACTCGTCCATTAAAGGAAACAATAGTGGCTAACCAGGTCACACACTTTCCTGCATTACAGATAAACAGATTACATTTGACTGGTCCAAATGTAATTAGAGATGTCTTCCAGTACTGTTCTGACTTACAAATTTGAATAGTGGCATACTGCCGTTCCTGACAATGAATATTACAGTGTGACATTCTTTTAGCAGCAGTGAAACTTTAGAGTTAAGCAACCCCAAGACAACTGAACCAGCAATCAACAGGACAAAAGAACCTGAAACCAACCAGGCAGCTGAACCACAAACCACCCAGGCAGTTGAGATCAACAAGAGCAAGGCTGTGGACTGGTACGTTCTGACTCATTAATTCACTCCTTTCCTTCCTTCAAGATGGTGTTGGCTTTACTTCACAGACCCAGAGGTTCTGTTCACTAATTATATACTGTCAATGGTTTCAGCAGAGCTTGGCAAAAACCCACCTTACATTACTCCATTGCCTCCTCTTTAGCACCCCTTACATGTTGTTTAATTTAATTGTCTGTTCACAATAAATTGTTTTTTTGTAGTTTAGGCAACATGTATCACTTTCCTAAGAAATAGAACAGATTGAAGAGTTCCTAGTCAGCTGTCTGTTGTACATTTAATGAACTGGTATGTGTCTTAATTTCGCAGCTCAAATGGATTTCATGAATCACCACTTTATCCAGGTGTTATCTCGGTGCAGTCTGCACCACCTGAACACTGTCTGAGGTGGGATGAGGACAGCTCGGAGCAGAGTGAAACCAGGTGAGATGAATGGAGAAGTTAGGCCACCATTGGAGCAGATTAGGAAGTGTGTCTACATCATCATGTCAGCAATCATATATATTAACTGTGTGTGTGTGTGTGTGTGTTTGTTTTAAGCTCTTTGGATAGCCTGGAGGACCTCTCCGACAGTGGTCCAGTGGAGTACTCTGAGGAGGTTGAAAGTGAACTCCCTCTTCTTCTGCTTTTATCTGAGGATTGTAGCTTTGAGCAGGAGCACACAGAACTCACTGACACCAAATCTGGTAGGAAATGCTCTCCTCCACTTGTGTCTGAATTGTTACAGCTCTTTCAAATTGTTGTTAAATCTAGCGAGGACAGTTGAGGCATTTGATGTGCTTTGGATTTTCAGATGACACAGACCCTGAGAAGAGGAAGGAGAAGGGAAAGAGGAATTGCTTCAAGTGCTTCTTCTGCTGGATGAGGACACTCTGCATCTGTGTCAGCGCCAACAATGACGAGGGCTAACAGCACTGTGAAGGTTTTCCAGCACAACATCTCACAAATACAGAGAGAAGTTGTGCTGTAAAACTTTCATAGTTGTTGAGGGCAGCTCTGTTCCCTTCTGTGTGGAGTTGCATTCTCTCCCTGTGTCTGCGTGGGTTTAAGTTAGGTTGATGAAACCATTCAATAAATACTTAAAAAAAATACGATCTGTTTCATGATATCTAAAAAAGCAAGGGCAACCACAAACATATTATATATATACCTGTCTTTTAATGCCAGGAGTTCTTATCATGTATCACATTCAGTAACTAGTTGTGACATCACAAATCCTGCTGGTCACCCGACCCTTAAAATCAGATGTTCAGTGAGCACAAAGAAACTTTCCACTTTC